AATATTTTAGGCTATGTAAAATATCAAAATATAGGTAAATCTTTTAGAATTGAAGCTTCTTACCTTATTATGTGCAACCTGTTCACCAGAAGCAGCTAACTACGATGCTTCATTTCCCTTCTTCCTCTTCTTTCTCATAAAAACCTTCTCGACCAATGTCTTGATGCGGTTCTTAGTTGGCCTCCCACGACGTTTTTTATAGGTTGGATTCATCACAGGGAGTTTTTTTTTGTAATATTAGGGTCATCATAAACTGTTCTCGAATAGTTAGGAACCTTTGTCCCTCTCTTCTTCACCCTCGTTGATGTGTTACTCTTGAAAATAGCATCTTTCCCATGTTGATTTCCTATATTTATTTTCCATGAACTCAACACCTCTACCATTTCTATTGCTTTATTTTTAACATATGTCACCATTTCTGGGATTTCAGACCCAATCTCAGTGATATTCAATAATACATGCCGAAGTTCGTCATACCTTTCCATTTCTGGCCTTTTGTCATAAGCAATGGAAACAAAATTTTCATACTTATACCTTCACGTTATATCCTTACGCCAACGGTCCAAAATGTATATTGAGTTGACTTTTTTTACTCGCTGTTGGAGTAACACAACAAATGCATGTCGACATACAATTCCCCTAAACTGAAAGCACCTGCAGGTGCAGGTGAATTCAATTTTCTCAGCGTGGAAGGTGACCCTTTCCATCCCACCATTTCCTTCTTCACGCTGAAAAATTTTGCATTGACCTTCTTCCTCAACTACCTCCGGAAATATTCCCAACATGTCTTTCAATTCTTCTTGAATTTCGATGAACTTTGCCTGCATGTATGCTGCTTGGAATTGTTTCTTATAATGCAATTTAGTTACACATTGGACCACTGACTTATATGATTGCAAATTTGCTTTTGCTTCTTTCTCCATTTTCCTCCTTTGAGCAAGTGCATATTGTTCCACAAAAGTATTCAATGTTGTTTGTCCATGAACAAATCCATCAAAGAAAGCGTTTAGACCTTCACTTCGCTGTGTTGAAGAGATCCCAGCCCAAAAGTGATATGTTAGAAATGGTGGTGCCCACATTTCATGCTCCTCAAATATGTCCTTCAACCATTGGTTCTCCACTAAATCATGTTCTTCGATCATAACTTGCCACTTCTGTTCAAACTCATTTCGATCATTGCAATGGTAGATGAGGCTTGAGAATGTGTTCTCAAGCTCCCTATACCTTTGCACAGCTGCAAGCTTTTGTGGCAATTTTTGTCTTATGTGCCACATACACCAGTGGTGCCTAGTAGCAGGGAATACTATCTGCACTGCCTTTCTAATCACTCTGCATTTCTAATCGCTCTGCATTGATCTGTTATTATTGCCTTCGGTTTAACACCCCCCATGTAGTCCAACCATGTTGAAAATAGCCAAATGAAGGACTCAATTGTCTCATTAGCCAATAACCCACACCCAAGCATTATTGTTTGGCCGTGGTGGTTCACTCCACAAAATGGTGCAAATGGCATGTCATACCTGTGTTGAGGGATGCAAGAGTATAATGAGAATAGCATGTATGTATAAAGATTAAAAAATTCTT